GATGCACTGTTGGTAAGCAACCTCCAAACCACATCCCACAGCCATCACATAGTTATTATTTACATTTCTTTTCTGAGGCTTCTCAGGAGAAAAACCCTAGCGAAAGGATTTTCATCAAACGTCAGTGACAATATCCCAGTGGCCTGAGGGAAGTGAGGTGGATGGAGGGCAGACAGCCCTGAGGAAACACAGCTGCTTCTCTGCAGGGCTTTCCTGAAGCCCTTTGCTCTTGGCTCTGGATGACCAAAACTATCCAATCACATCAGTTACTATGGTACAGTTGAAGCTTAAAGTTGCTTTTCAGTTTTCCTGCTCCTTCAGTTTTCAGCTCCTGATGTTCAGAGTCATAAGTGGTAGCTTTGGGAAAAGGGAGGATCTGTTCCTGCTGGGAGCATTCCCCTCAAAGCCACAACTACAAACAGAGTGTGGCTTGGACACTGGAAGCACAACCAAATCCTGGTCTTTCTGAAAGCCCTGGAAAACCTGCAATTTTAAAAAAATTTTTTATCCCCCTCCCCAATTCTCTCTTTGCTTTTGGAGGTGAGATTCTTCTACTGCAACTACTGCAGTCTCAAAAGAGTAACAGAAAGAGGAAAATCTTTGAAATCAGGCAGGTTTTGCACTGCCCATGACTCCCCTCCTCTGTAAATGAATTTGGAGCAACAGGAGCACACAGTTCCAGCAGAGATGAGCAGAGAGATTTGGTTTTCAGGACACAGGGAAAAGAAACTCATCCTGTCAGAGATGAGAGCAGAGTGGTGCTACAGAGTGCTGCTGTAAATTCCACTGCAGGAATTTGCACTGTTCCCACACAGCAGCATTTCCTATCAGCTCTACACCTCCCCTCTGACATTCAAATATTCTTGCTGAAACCCAAGTGCACTCCCAGAAAACCCAGGTGAAATCCCAGCACCCCGTAGGGCAGCAGCCTTTACTGTATCCAAACATCAGATTATTGTATACAAAATGCTGTTTATTGTATACAAAGTGCAAATTTAGGCAAGGGGTGCCCTGGTGCCACCTCCAGAGCAGCAAGGGCAGGGAACTGGGCTGAACTGGGCTGAACTGGGCTGAACTGGGGGCCTGTGGGCTCATAACCAGCCCCAGGGATCGCTATGAGAGCTGCCAGGGAGAGCAGGAAAGCCCCAGGAGAGAAAAGAGAGTCACTGGGTAGGAAAAAACAGCTGCCAGGTCCATGTCCATTGTCAGGGGAAACATATTCCCTTTCCCCTCGGTTTTCAGAGCATTCAGTGATCCCAGCAAGATGGAACCTCTGCCCCAAGGAGCAGAGGGCAGTCGGTGCCAGTTCTGCCTGGGAGCCAGAGCTGCTCTGCTGCTGGGCACTGACCCCTCTGTATGGCCCTGACTGAGACTGGGCCACTTCTGTTTCTTTTCAAGTATTCCACAATTGTCTCCAAGCTGCAAACACGATTCCATCTTATTTCCATCACACCTAAGCTAAATTAAAAATGGCCAAACTTCAGCTACAGACTCAAGACTTATAACTTACTTGGAGAGGAAAAAATAATATCTTTGGGGTTTAACAGAACAAACATTTCTTTCTGCTGCTCTCTTCCTCATCTGCAATCCAGCTTCTTGCTCTGCTCAGGCTGGTTCTGACCAAACCAGCTCAGTGCCAAAGCCAAGCTGACCAAACCATGGCAACACTTCAGAGAAGTCAATTCTGCCCCCTTTGTTTTGCAGCCACGCAGCCTCAAGTTCATTCCATTATTTACACACACATGGATCTGGCTAAGCTGGGAAAGCTGGAACATGCTTCAATTGTGCCACGTTCCTGGCTGCCTGGTGGCCAGAGACCACCCCTGCAGGCTTCAGTTCCTCCAGGGTCTGTCTTTCAAACCATGGGTTGGCACCCAAACCACGGGCTGAGGTTGGAAAAGCCACCCAGGAAAGTCAGGCAATGTTCAATGGAGGGGCTGATGGAAAAGCCAGTTCCAAAGGAGAAAACTGTTTGTGTTTGTTATCTGCTGTCTCCCCTTCCCATCCATCATGACACCTTTATTTTCCCAGCCCTTGCTGCCTCTCTGGAGCCCGTCCCAGCAGCAGGGCCGAGAGGTGCTGAGAGCAGGAGCAGCACAAACACTGAGGAGAAGCCTGGAGGCACAGGACCCCGAGGGGATCAGGGTGCTCCCTGTGCCTCTCCTCTCACCTCCTCTCCTTCCCTGGCCCCACAGGACGAGCGTGGCCCCTGTGCCCGGGCCATTGAGCAGTTCCACCATGCCAGCCTGCTCAGCCACCTGCAGAGAGGGGAGGAGCAGGCCCAGGTGATGGCCCAGGCCATGGCTGAGCTGGCCACTGCTCCCTACCTGCAGAGAATCTCCCAGGAGGATGACGAGCTGGTAGGTTTTGATTTCCAACACTTGTTTTGGAGGCTGGGAGACAGAGCAGGAAGGGCCAGGGCAGAGTTCTGTACTTCCACCCTTGTGGGAAATGGATTTGTAGAGAATTCTTGAAGTTTGATAGAAGGTTTACATAGAAAAATTAGAATAAAGGTTTTTAAAATGCCTCTCAGTTGCCCCATCTTTGGGTCAGAAAAGAGTTTAATCCAACACGCCCTGTGCTCTGGAAGTCCTTTATCCAATGTGGGGATCTAAAAGAGTTCTCAAATCCTCCTTCAGTGCTTTGACAGAGGAGGAGCTGATCTGGTGACAGAACCACCAGGACTCACCTGTCAATACCTATAGAAAATCCCTTTTCTGCCCCAAAACCTCCCCAGATCAGTCTGGAAAAATGATTGCAATGATTCAGCTCTTGCTGCCTTGACACCTCTGACCTCAGAAGGCACCTGCAGCAAACCAGCCTGAATCAGGGGAGGGGGAAAGGAGGGAAAACTGATTTTCTGTGCTGGGTCCCAGCTCCACAAGCTCCTGCCTCAGAACAAACCTGCCTGCCTGCTCCTGGTCAGGATTGCTGCAGAGGTGCCCCAGGTTGGTGGAGAATCCCTGGGGCTGCTGAGAAGCACAGCCTGGGCCCTGCCCCAGCCCAGCTCCACATTCAGCACTGGGAGGATTGCTGCAGCCAAAAGTGATGGTGTCCAAGGGGGCTGGGGAGAAAAGAGGAGGGGGAAACATCTCCTGCTTGTGTGCAGCAGTGGGCAGCTGGTGCCTCTCCTTCTCCCCTGAGGGGACACCTCTGGCTGAGCCCTGTGCCTCGAGCACACCCCAGGAATGCTGACACCTACAGTGCTAGGAGATCTTCATTCCTTGTGTGAAACACTTGTGAAGAGACTCCAAAAACTTGTGTTTGCAATCCCTTTAACTCAACCCAGCGTTTTGGAAGAGAATTGTTTGGAGTGCAGCAATAGCACAGCTCTCAAGTACCAGTTTTCCCCAGTTTGTTCCTAAACACTGATGTGTGATGGTGTTCAGAGGGGTTTTAGGATGAGGGAAGAGACGAGGATCTGACTTTATGTTTCAGAAGGCTTGATTTATTATTTCATTATATATACTACATTAAAACTATACGAAAAGAATAGAAGAAAAGGTTCCATCAGAAGGCAAGCTAAGAATAGAATAGCAAAGAATGATAACAAAGGCTTGTGGCTCGGCTCTCTGTGCGAGCCAGCTCACTTGGATTGGCCATTAATTACAAACATCCAACATGGGCCAACCAAAGATCCACCTGTTGCACTCCACAGCAGCAGATAATCAATGTTTACATTTTGTTCCTGAGGCCTCTCAGCTTCTCAGGAGGAAAAATCGTAAGGAAAGGATTTTTCATAAAAGTTGTCTGCAACACTGATGCTAAGGGCAGCACACCCTGGGCCCAACCCTTGTCTCTCTGTCTCTGAATTAAGAGTATCTGAACATTTTCCAGGGGTTGGGAAGGGTGCAGGGTGCCAGCACTGCCCTGGAAGGGGACTGTGGGGAGGCAATAATAAATTATTTTAGACCCACAAGGATGCAAGGACTGGAGCAAAGACGAGTTTGCCATGCTCACCGTGTGCAAGATGAGTCACAAAATCATCAGAGTGCCAAGGATTTGAATTAGGGTTTAATTTGTGTATTCAGAGAAATGATTTCTCAGTGAATTCCACACTGACTGATTGTATCTTGGTGCCACAGCTGCAGTCACTGATGGCAGATGCCATGGACATCCTGGCAGGAAAAACTGGAGAGCGTGTGTGGACCAAAATACAGAAGGTAACAGCACAGGTCAGGAGAGCAGCTCGCTCCTTGGGCAGGAAACATCCCTGAGTCTGCTCTGTTCAAATGGCAGAAAAGAGAGGAGGTGCCCAGGAGGTGTCTGTGGGGCCTGTGAGGCTCTGGCTGCATCCTTGCTGTGCAAGCAACAGTGCAGCTGATGTGCTGCACCAGAAACTGCAGTGATGGCAGCAGCTGACGTGCCAGAGCAGCTCTAACTCGGGGAACCCACATTTATTCTATAATAAATAGAATTTATTCTGTTCTATAAATATGGAAAGCACAGGCAGACAATGCCAAAGCACGGCTCCAGGCAGGAACATCATTCCCGCACAAAGTTCCAGGCGGGAACATCATTCCTGCACAAAGTTCCACGCAGGAACATCATTCCCACACAAAGTTCCATGCAGGAACATCATTCCCGCACAAAGTTTCAGGCAGGAACATCATTCCCACACAATGTTCCAGGCAGGATCATCATTCCCACACAAAGTTCCAGGCAGGAACATCATTCCCACACAAAGTTCCAGGCAGGAACATCATTCCTGCACAAAGTTCCAGGCAGGAACATCATTCCCACACAAAGTTCCATGCAGGAACATCATTCCCACACAAAGTTCCAGGCAGGAACATCATTCCATCATTGCTCTGCTGCTGCCTGCTGGCAGCCCCAGCAGCACAGACACTGTACAGAGCTGCTGTAAATCCTGCTGCTGCTCTGGTGTCCTGTTTGGGTTGGAACCCAGGGCACTGGGAATATTTGTCTGCCTGTCCTGACAAGTCCTGACCCTCAAGGGAACACTTTTAACCTTCATCCAGGGAGAAAGCTTCCAAGAGTTGGGATGAATTGGAATCTACAAGTGTGAGAAATAGATAACAGTATAGTTTATCACAGGGTGAAAAACTTGGAGTTTTGGGTTTTTAATATGGAGGTGGATAGAAGACAAGATAGAGGATTTTGGGCATTGTCTAATCTCCTTCTTGTTCTTTATCTACTCCATTTTCTGCAGTTGGGAACACAAAGTGATTGTTTAGAAAGAACCTCAATACAGATGTTGTGTGAACAGAAAAATAATTAGCTCTTAGTAAAAAAGTAGAAATAAAGTACATTCTAAGAGTTAATTGGACAAAATAGCTTTAAAAGACCTTAAATCTGTGTGTCCTGTGACTTCTGGTGCCTTCTCTTTGTACACTAAATCTGAGATGTAGGTGAGGTACCAAACCTTTGATGAGAAAAAAATAAACAACAACCTCAAGACCAAAAACCCCAAAGTCCTGTCCATCCCTCATTCCTGGCACAGAACTTTTTAGGCGTCTCCCCATCCAGGGCATCCACAAAGGAAGTTTCTGGTGCCCTGTGTGAGGATTGAAATCACAACCTTCAGATTATGAGACTGACTCCTAAAAGACTCACCCCACATCCCACCCAGCACCTGGGATCTGTTTTCCTGCCTCTTTCTGCCATTTGTGCTAAGGTAGACACCAGCACTGCCTCCAGAATAGAACAGGCACTTTTAATGGGCAGGAAAGTCGTGCAGACACTTTAATTTGGTCTCTGGCTGAAGAGCCCTGCAGGCTCAGTGGTTGTGGTTAGCAGAGCCAAGCCCTGCACTGGACCCTATGGTCAGCCCTATGGGAGGGATCAGCCTTCCCCAGCCTCCCCATCTCGGGAGGTTGCAGTTTATTGCAGCCCTGAGACACGTGAAAAGTCTCTGTTTTGGTCCACACGTTCGA